TCTAATATGAAATTACGATTGTTACTTTCTTGTTGAACGGTATGTGGAATTTGAAGCTGAGGTCTGAGCTAGTAAATGGATATAAGTACTGGTGGTGAGAGATGGAACATGAAACAAAGCCAGAGTGATTCCATCCAGCTGAAACATGAGTGATAACAAAGCTTTCCAAAGCTCTCCAAAAAGGTTCAATTGTTCAACTAAAATTTGAGTTTTTTCACCCTCATGTATTGAACAGGCGCAGGAAAAAAACTCAGAAAAAAACTCAAATAAAAACAATAAAACCAAAGAGTGTGAATCCCACAAACTCGAACAAGTGGATCTAGATTCAACCAATTGCTCGCTTCAATCATGTATCACATCAACATGTGGTGACTAATGAAACACAAACATGATTTGTGGCCTTGATTATGAATCAAACAAGTCCTAGTTTTTTCACCTTCATTGAGACAATTCATCAAATATATTGTGAACAATTAAAAGAAACTCATCTCAAAAAATTTTCAGTTAGGCTATTCACTTAAAGGAAGGGAAAACATATATTGGAGGAATGAAGACATACCTGAAGGAGGAAGGAAGACCGATTTCACAATGCTGGAGGAAGGAAGGCAGTGTATCTTTATGCAAAAATGGAAGGAAGGCAGCAACTAGCGAGTGGATTGCCCTCTCAAGATCTGGTAAGGATGAAGACCTCAACTATTTTGGCGAGTTGGATAGCTAGCGCGTTGGAGCACACGATTTAAAATTTTGCTGGCTAAAATGACTAAAAGGCTGCACTAACGAGAGCGTTGAAAATGCTCTAAGTGCGAGGGTGAAAGTCTATAATAAAATTTCTCTTTTTAAGAAAAAAAAAATTATGTAGTAATTCAAAGAGCGAAGAATTTGTACTATAAGATCAACTTCAATAAAAAATTTATATTCTTACCTAAATTTGAGTTAAAAAAAAAAAGATAAAAAATTTGATTAAGTATGGGTCTTTCCAATGAATAAATCATTTTTTATATTCAAATCTTTTTTTAAAAAGTTTCTTTCTTATCCCAAAATTCCCATCTCCATTTTCTCTTCATTTTTGCGTCAGATTTATGTTCCATTTTTCTTCATTCTTTCTCGGTACCCCTTCAAAACACACTGTCCTCAATCACCAACCTCCCAAACTAGATCACTGCACCTCAAAGAAAAAGAGCAATCCCTCTATGTCTCTCTACACAATATCCAAATTTCACAAGTTCCAGATCTAGTTTGCCTGACCACCGACATGAAAGGAAGAGATCGGCAGCGACGTGAGAGTCCGGGGTAGAAGACGAAGTGACTGCCCGGGGTAGCTGATGGAATTTATGTCCGTCGGTAAAACGGGTATGGGATTTGGGGTTTAAAGTAGGATTTCTTTGATTTGGTACGAGTCTGGATCTACTATTAGAGAAAATTTTTGGACAATTTTTATCTAAATTTAAATTTTGATAAAAAAAAAAGAAAGGGATCAGAGCTAGAATTGTCCTAAACTTGTGTTTGACTAGAGTCACTATTGACGAATTGAAAATTGTAAGTAAAAAGGAGGAATAAATTAACAAAACACATGATCAATACTTCGAATTCCATCTTTAAACAAAGTATTCTTAATACAACAAAAAACTGCATTGTTGGAAAAGAAGGTCAATTCCTGTTCCAAAGTTAGTTTCGAGGGCAGAGAACAAGCCCCCGACGCTGGTCACAAGCCTCATGAGTAGGCCTCAAATTATCCTAACATATGAAGAAACTTATGATTTGGGCACACGCTCCCGAGAAAACTAAAAAGAAGCACAAATGATCATATTCAGAGTCATTTCAATGCGTCTCACTTGAATGAGGCATCTATCTAACTGTGATATTGATCATCATTATCTACAGCCAAATGTATAGAAAAATATGAAAGCACTTCTTTCCCTTCTACAAAGAGGGATTGTTGCCCATACGAAGAGTCCTCTTCTAGGATGACTGATTATAAATAACAAGTAGGTGGATCGCAGTGAACAGGATCCCATATTACAGCCCCTTAGACGGGGGATAGACAAAAGTATATCAAACGTATTGCCTTTCTCAAACCGTGTACGCTTGCTGGATCGTTTCTATGTCGAGATTCTTCAATTTCACAACTGATTCAACGTGGCCTTTCAATGTTTGCAGTTCTATCAGCCTGCAACAAACAAACAAACGAGAGAAACAAAACTTCAGAAAATGCATCGGCCTGCTATAACATGATCTCTGTTAGCACATCTTTAACTGTTTACAGAGCACATCGTATATTAAGAGCAATATACCAGACTTGTTATTCTAAGGCGTTTCAGAATTAGGCAGGATGATCATAACATAATATCAATGCTAAGAAGTATGAAACAAGACTAATCCAGCACCTTGTATCTCTTACATAATTATAATTTTAACCTTCCTAACAGTTAAATAGTCAAAAAAGTGATCAACGGTAATTTCTCAGATTGGACCTGTAGCATATTGACCCTTGCTACCATCACGTGGTCATTTAAGATTCATGTCGTTTTGACTTAGTTTAGTATGTGAAGGACATGCAGCAGTATCTTGTTTCAAGTTATTTAAAGAAGGATACAGTTCATTTTCATGAGAAATTTAGGATTATAGTACATTGTAGTCAAGTAATCTGCATCAAATAAGGGTCAGCCTAGCTGGTGAATTTGTTTATTTTATCTTTAAGATGAACTTCAATTATCAGAAAATTAAATAAATCCTGAACTTGAATTGTTCGACCCAGAAACAGCAGTTAAAGGCTTCTTCTAAACAGTGCAACTAATCTCGTTTTTCTTTTTATTGCCAAATTCATATTGTCGGAGAAAAAAAGAAGATGGCTGCTGAAAATATCAAAATGGGAAAACTTGCAAATCCTAACCCATGCATAAAATAGTTGCTTTCATATGTGTGCATGTCTTTTTTGTACCTTGCCATCTCAGCTCGTCTTTTTGCCTCTTCAGCCATCTGGTTAAGATCGGTAATGCTACTGCGGTCACTAAAGTCAGTCACAGGTGGCTGCAGCCCATGGAGGGTTCTTTGTGCATGTGCCCATTTAAGCTCACGTTCTTCTTTTCCGAAATCCTTTTTCCTCGTAAAGGCAACCTGCAAAAAGGAGAATTCCTCCAACATTCAGCAAGGGATCTATCCACTAAGTTACTCCATTGAGAGCAGGAATTCCATACCCTTTGCTCGAAAACGAGATCCCAAGCTCTACCACTAATGGCATATCGAATACAGAACTTTATGAAATCAAGAGGGAAGTACGTAATGAGGTTATAGAGCCAAATCACCCCAGCCCAACCCCATCCAATCCCTTCAATCGCAGCAAAACCCCAATTCGCATATACAGCAATCAATGTAGCAATCTGTTCACATAGAAAAGAGTAAACATTGGAGTTATTTGTTCAAGTTACCAAATGACACCTGCACAGTAAAAACTTAAACAACAGCACTTCACTCACCAGCTGAGCAACCAAAAAAGCCCCCACAAGCAGAAGTCCTGGGCGCTCGTAGAATGACCAACTCCTAGCTCTTGTCACAAAAATGAGGGCTTGACTAATGGTACTCACTTGCAGGTACACTGCAGAGGCAAGCTTTTTGAAGTCGTAACTAACCGTTTTCTTTAGAGATGAAACCCCAAATAGGTGCTGGAAATTACAAGAAAGGTTTAAGACCAAAATGTTTGTTAAAATTGATAGATTGTCAATTAAAAGAAGAAAGGTCCATCCCCAGTCTAAAATGGGTGCACTCAAAAAGGAAAAGCAAAGGTGATAATTTAGAAAGATATGCAGGTTTAGGGTTAAATTTTTTGGTTTTATCAACTAAAGAAAGCAACATCATGTAAGAAGAATCCAGGTCAGAAGCATATAAATAAAGCAATAAATCCCTAACAGATCCCATCGACAGAAACCATAATCATATTTTACCATGAACTGGTGAATGCAAAATAAAACTGTTGACACTAAAAAAATCCCTGGAGTCAAAATATAGGTAATTCAGCCAGAACTGTTCGCAGATCAGCTGTTTTAAGAATACAATGACACAAATTGATGGACTCAGATAAGACCAATGCCAGATGATACCTTAAAGCAATCACTCCCTTCCCAAATGACGTATACAAAAAGATGTGAGATGTAAAGCAGTTGGACAATTTATTTTACAGCACAGTGGCAGAATGGCTTCAAATTATGTGATTACAAAACGGTTCAAGAAAGTATACAAATTCAACTGCAAACAAAAATCATATAAAGACAATGATTAAAAAAACACTTTAATAAGAAAAACCTTAAACATCAAGAAGGAAGGGAGAGCATAATGTTCTATAAGCCTCTACAAACAGAACCATTATGATGGAAGGCAGATAGCACTATAAAGACAGAAATAATAAGTACTTGGCTGTAAAAAATTAGAAGCCAACAAAACAGGAGTAATATGTCAAATACATATAAAAACTAGGCGATCAGGCAGGGCATGCCATGCTTGATCAATTACTCTATTATTTATTCACGTGAAAAATTTTACTTACAGGAAAGAAATTCGTCTCGTATGCCACCCAAAAGAAGATGACTGTCATCACTGCCAAGTAACCTCCAAGAATGATCCCAGTTGCAAAAATCTCTCCCAGCTTCCAGCTGTCGGGCAGAGGAGATGGTTTCACCCTATCCTTTGATATTGTCATAATGGTACCTGGCATGCCATATAACCAGTAAGCATCAAACCACCCATGCCTCTCCCCCAACCACCGCCACCACCAAAAGAAAGCCTATTATGTGTCATTCATGAGAAAACTAACTGGAAAAGAGAAGGCGCATTGAGTTTCCTATAATAAAAATACACACCATCATTCAGGATAGCAATGATCAGCACCATGAAGGGTGGGAAGTCGAACTTCCATATAAGAGCGAGCAACATGAAACCAAGCTGGCAAAACAGAAATCAGGAAACAATATAACTATAAGCTATGACTAGAGGATCCCATCAAGTAATTATTGCAACTCAGGAGATATTATCATTATTACAGAATACCAAGGCCAACATCAATTTACTTACCACAATACGAATTGTAATGGAAACAGCATAGATCTGCAAAAGAAATCCAAAATATTAAATAAATAAGTAACTTTCTCAATGAACAATCAAAATAGCAGTGATAGAGGTTATGATGCCATTTAGTGACTGATGGCATGAGGCTTTTTTTTTTCAGATGTCGAGGTTGGGGGGAGAGAGAGGGGGGGGGGAATCTTGGTATCACATAAGCAAAAAGAAGTAAACGGTGGGTCCTAATAAAATTGTAATGGCAGCAGCAATAGTAGGAGTTGTAAAGGGCATCAATAAACAAAGGTTGAATAAGTTGAAAATTACAAAGGCAACGCACACAGAAGATACGTGCAGTCAGTCCTGCCCAGATTAAATTCATACAGAAATGCCTAAAAACTTCATAAGAATACTTCCTTCTGAGTTCTACTGTCAAACTATACTCTCTCATGAGCAGAACCTAGACTTACCGTGTAATTTTTCATCCTCTGAAAGATTGCACGACTAGTTAGTACAGCACTAATGATCACGCTGAGACCAGGTTCTGTCAGGACTATATCAGAAGCACTACGAGCAGCATCAGTTGCATCAGCAACAGCTATGCCAATATCAGCCTTTTTAAGTGCAGGGGCATCATTGACTCCATCACCAGTCATTCCGCATATATGTTTTCTAGCTTGCAAGCGTTTTACGATCTCATATTTGTGCTCTGTGCCAACAAATGAGATGTGGTTAGTCAATCAAGTAATAGCCTATGAAAACTGTTCTTGGAATATTAAACACTGAACTTTTTAATTTTCTGTACTGCACACATTAATTCAAATATCACGCAGACAGAGTGACAGAAGAGTAGTTATGAGACCCAGTCATGTAGTTGGCTCCTGAGTAGGGGGAATCATAGGATCAAACCTTTTAGCGTAGGGTCTAGGAGAAACATAATTAATCAAATGCTTTTTTCACCAAAGAAAGAAATTGAGTTGCAAAAACTACCAAGTAAGCGGGAAAAAAAAAATTACCAGGGAAGACGCCAGCAAAGCCATCAGCTTTTTCAATGAGCTCATCAATTGGCAAAGCAGCAATTGATTCATCCTTGTTCTGCCCTAATAAAGCAGATGAAGGATACATGTTGGTTCCCATTCCCAAACGCCGTCCAGTTTCCTTTCCAATTGCCAGTTGATCACCTAATGGAGTGTTAAAGGAGTCAGGCAAATGAAATATCGAACAAACTACATAGAATAAATTTCTTAATTCAATAATACCTCAGAGATAGGAAAATTTAAGGTGCCTCAGAGAGATGAAAATTTGCATAAAGCAGGAAAGTACAATATTCCTAAATTTTTTTAAAGTCTTCTTTTTCTTTATCTTAAGAGAACACATGCATCACTTCACATAACTCAACCTAAATTCTTCACTCTTCAGTATTCATCTCCAGTACTGCCTAGATTAAGTCCTCAAGCATCAGATAATAGTGGTACAGTAAAAACACCACTGCCAAAAGGATCAGAAGGAATAAATAACAAATCATTGTTATTTGTTAAACAGGTTTTATCAAGAAAATGAAAGAAGATGCCATGGACCTCAACCCCCCCCCCCCCCCCCCCCCCCCCCC